TGGTCCCCACTGGATGTAGCACTGGTGTTCACTTGGCAGACCGAATCATCTTTTGTCCCACCATGCTCTCAGAATCCATGCACTTCCCCTTGGCAAACTCCAGATGGACTGTCAAGCTCCTGACCGAGACCCCCACATAACCTTTACTGAGATTGACCACATGGTGAACCTTGAAAGAATCTTTGGTTCAAAACATATGGTGGTCAGCACTTTTGGGGTACCTAAAAGACTCTTTGAATGTCATTGCTTGGTGTTCACGCCTTTTTTATATAGTTTGACCTGATAACGTTTCAACTAAGGAATCATGATTTAGTCCGATAGTAAATGTTGGTACATTTGTTGTTATAAATAAATGAAATGTATGCTGATAATTCATTACATTAGATGTTGCAACACGCGAAATAGGGGAATAGAAGACTGCAAGCACTTGTTTACATGGATGTTAACAATGCAGATGTAAGACTTTATGTTTTAATGAGAAACAAAATACATTCATATGTTTTCTTTGGCCTCCAGTATACGCACAATGTGCTGGTGGTGAACAAATGGCAAGAAAACATTGAATATAAACTGAGAGGTTTACTTTTAGAAGCCATTGACTTCCCTGCTGGCTGTGTGTGTTCAAAGGATGTGTGTGTTCAGTTTGATGTTGAGTGTGTGTCAGAGGCTAGTAGTGGCGTGAGGCCTTTTGTCAGCAGGGGGATTGAGCAACACAAAGACGGAGGCTGGATGGTCAGGAGGATGCTGCTCTCCGGAGAGAGACTCCAGTTCAGAGGTCAACATTGGCTCTTTTGGGGGAACAGTGTGTGGGGGTGAATAGTGTCAGTGTGTGTTGTACCTGCTTATGCACAAACGCCTGTGTGAGCATGTGTGCGTGTCTGTGTGGGCTGGGCGGGGTTACACACGTCACAATATGGATCCCAGTGGACGGGTGTTTTCAGGACTGGTCCCTGTGGACAGAGGAAGAGGAAGGGAGGGAGAGGATGATGAGGCTCGGTGGCGGTTGGCTGATGGGGTCCAGCAGGGACGGAGCAGCCTGCTAATGAAGAGCCATCTGAGGCCTCCATTCACCTTGAACATGGGCCACTGCAGCTGCCCTGACCTTGGCTTTGATCCACAAAGATGCTTGACCCCCACCCTTCCCCAAGAGAAACCCCCCCCATCTCTTGCCATCTGGACAGCATGCATGCATATGTATACATACGTGCACACACCCACAGATACATATGCATGTACACGTAGGCCAACTCAGATACACATGCACATATGCTTTCACAGGTTTCACGTTGTTGGATTCTGACTGATGGTGCTTTTTCGGCCATACACCTTTTTATTCTATGCCATTTTAGCTGCATTGTGTGTGTTTATGCATAATGCATACACATCTACACTAAGAAACAACATGCTGGCCATAAGTCACTTCCTTTGTCCTCCAAAAAGAGAGGGCATGCAGGGGATATGGCATACAATGACCACTAAAACAAACTATCCCAAATGTGTTGTATTTAATAGATTAGATTTGTACTTTTCTTTAAACCATAAAAATCCCTCCCTACTCTCAAAGCCCTTTCCACATCCTCCATGTCTCTAGACATAAAATCCCCTAACTAAAGTTGTTTCACATTAACTCTGTTTTTTTATTTCTCATTACTATCCCAATGTTTGCCACGCTCCATAGGCATTACATTGGTTTCCCTCTCTTCTCCCTAATAGGAATGCAGCGGCTTGGAACGTAGGGGTTCCTTGGAAATTCCCAAAGTGGTGCAACGCGCTCTCCTCCAATACTCGGGCTTGTCTTGCTTGTCCGCCCAGTTCAGCTGTAAATGACAGTTATCTCACGGGTGACTTAAGTTGCAGTCCATCTGTGGAAATGTAGACCTGCCTGCATTTTCCTTTTTATACATTTCATCCCTAGCTTTATGAGGATTTTTATAGCACACAATATAGAGTAGCTTGATGCGATATAGAGAAATAGTCGTAATCTAAAAAAGGCAGACTAACATTTTGTGATCCATATTCTCAGAGAAGCTTGTCTCAACATGATGCTGATCACCATCATAGCTGCAGCTTTCCCCCCAAAACTAGGTCAGTGTCAGCAGGGTTGGTGTCCATGACATGGGCATAGTCTTTGCGTCACTGTTCTGGACGTGTCCGTTGATTAAGTTACTGCGCAGAGGCAGCCGCATCTGTGCATATACAGCGGAACAAGCTGTGCCTGTGGCTTAGTAATTAGAGACGAGCAGAAAGGTGAGGGAGTGCGGGAGGCAAGATTACCCCTCGCTGTGCATCAGCTCTGATTTTTGTGCAGCAATTTTTTTTTGTACTCACGGATAGCTCCGTACATTTACTTAAGTGAGCTGATTATGGCTCTCGCTTTCACTCGTCTCCAAAATACCTTTTATTAGTCTCCCTAACCGCCTGTCTTTCTCCCCGGCAGCCTGTGGCTCTATATTTTCTCTCATCTCTTGATAATTCTACACTATCTCCCTTGATTTTATTCTTTGAAGTTTTTTTAATAATTTCTCACCCACTATAATCCATTTGACTTGGATGGAGGGCAGCGGAAGGAAGTAGTGGAGGAGAGGCGTGTGTCAGAGTCAGCGAGAGCGTCTGCTCCAGCTGGAGTCAATATTTGCTTTAGGAATCTCAATAACAGACCTCCAGTCATCTGCATCTCTGATAATGGACAGCCATATGGCCATGTTGACCCACGCTGTGCCGAGGTTCTCTTTCTCTCTTCTCGTCCTCCCTTCTCTTTCATTTGTTCACTTCCTTCTAACTTCTCTAATTTCCTTTCATTAAGTGCTACTATATTTTGTCTTCCACTTATCACCTATTTGTGCACATTTTGCTATTTTTTACAAACATCCTTTCTCTGTGTCTGTCATCCATAAAAGCCTGAATATGACCCATCACACAGAGCTTTGACCCAAGTTACCATGGCAGCAGAGACTGGGATCCCCACTCTTGTCCAATACTGTTTCCAGCAAGTGACAGAAAACAGTGACGTTGCATGCCTGGCTGTGACCGGAAGACAGATATAGAGCTCGAGAGGCTTTTACTCAAAATCATGCTCTTAAATGGAGATCCTGGCCAGTCTTTCCATTCCTCTTCTCCTTACTTAAGGCAGGAAATATGAGCTTTTATTTAATGGATTTTTTGGAGTTCTGTCCTGACAAGCATCCAAAGAAATCTCAATTTGACAAGGGTAGAATTCCAAATAGTTTTAACATGGAAAGAAACAACATAAATACTTTTTATTTTATTTTTAAACCTACCATTTGTCGCCAACGTTTACTTTCCTTGGTTCAAAAATGCTTGTTTGTCAAAAGACTATATTAGTTTTACAAGGCTTTATTTTCCTTTATGTAACCTTGGGACCCCTCGGCTATCTATCTTACGCTGATTAAGCTTCTTGGGCAACAGCCAATATTTCTGGTTGGGATCCGGAATTGCAGTTGAAAGACGACGCATACGAAATAAATTGTTGCCATTTGACTTTCAGTTCATTTTTAAACAAATCAGAACATCACCATCAGACGATATCCGATCGTGTTCCAAAACCTTGGACAATGCATCCTGCCTCTTTTGTTCCAGATTGATCAAAACTGCTTGGACTACAATCAAAAACCTTAGCGTTCTCGACACCAAAAACTTGTCCCACTTGATATGCAGCTATCTGTTTTTAGATAATTGTAATTATTTGGTTTATAGGGTGTGGTACGGGACAGCACTTCCATCTTGCTCCCTATTTTCCCCATCCTTTGTCCCGGACTGCCCTCTGTCCATCCCTGTCTGTCCCTGAGCAGCTTGGCCAGCGTCCCCTCTGGTGCCTCCCGGCTCAGGTGCCTGTCACCCTGCCTTTGCCACGGTTCCCTCAAAGCCATTGGTCATGGCTGCTTTGGCCCCTGCTGTGGCGGCATGTGCCCACAGCAGGCCCCTCGCCCAGTCACTGTCGCGTCCTATCTATCTAACCCAGACCCCAGCCCCTCGGCCCAGTCCAGCCTATCTCAGCTCAGCCTGGTTCAGCCTTGGCGTCAGCAATAGCCCAGTGCCACTCCACCCTGGCAGTGGTAATGAGGGGGAGGGGGTTCTGTGCAGAGCGACTTGAGTTGTGTGAGAGTGAGTATGCATGTGTTTGACAAGCAATTTGTGAGGTGTCTTCTATCAAAGAAAAATGGCCACAACAGACAGCCGTGAGAATAATCTGGCTCATTGTCAAACACACTCACACACTCTTAAATCTCAAAAGTGCTTACTATCATTAAGCCATCAGACAGACCTTTTCACTCCAGTAGTTCCCTGCACCATATTTTACCCTGCACTTGCCTCCATTCCACAACAGACTTACGATTAATCTATGATAATGATATGATAATGGCCACCTGAATGTTTTCCACCCTCATCCAGCAGCCATTTTGCAGGCCTATATATATTTATTTATTTATTAATTTAAGCTTTCCCATTTCAAATCCGGCCATCCATCCTGCATGCTGGTTGCCCAGGCTCCAGTCACTGCTTGTCACTCTGAATTTCAAATGGCTCCAATTTTCCCCCTGATGGCATAGAGAAGTGGCAGGCAGCACATCGGGGAGGGAGATCCTAGACATGCTGCCTGCAGCAGGGGTTCTATTAGAGAGAAGAGAGGCACGAGAGGGGGAGAGGAGAGGTTTGGAGCATCACGCATCATTATGATTATTTTGGAGACTGCATTCTCATTTGGGGCTGTGTGTCATGGCTGATTGTTCCCTCTTCGCTTCTGGCTGGGTTGCTGATGGTGGAGCTGCCCTGCCTCTTGCTCTCAGCACATGTATATGCAGCGCGCCACTGAAAATATGTGATGTGTTACTGTGGCTATGATAACTGACAACATGTGCAGAATGATGTTCTGAAATGTGATTATTCTGAGGTTTAATTACTTTGAAATGCTAACTCTGTATTGCTACCTTTTTCTTCTCCAACCTGACATCATATGTTGTGCCTTAACGAGAACTAACCAGCTATGAGGAGCGGGCGCTCTACCTGGAGGCCATTGTTCAGAACCACAGAGAGGTCATGACCTTCGAAGATTTTGCCTCACAGGTCTTCTCCCCCTCTCCTGGCTATCCAATGAGTGGGACAGGTGAGAAACTACCCAAACTGCACCTCTGTTCTCCCTTAGGTTTTTTCTATTCCATGTTTTTGTCCCCTTCCATCAGGTTCTCCATCCCAGTCATTCATCACATTTGTGCGTTATCCCTTCTTTACCTTTCTTAATTGCCTGTTTTTTCTGCTCTACAACACACCTGTTTTCCATCCTTGCCTCCTCCACCCTCCCTCATCTCCAATGTTCCTCCTCGCCTACGTGCGCTGATGAATATCAAACGACGGGCCCGGCCTCTTCATGCTATCCGACTGACTTCAAACGCTCTGCTTTCTCCACTTCCTCAAGCCCCACTCACACTACTTTTTTCATCCCTTCTTGTTTCCAAACTGCATATTTTCCGTGCAATTACTTTCCTATGAATATAAGCAGCCTTGTTAAATGGTGTGTGTGTGTGTGTGTGTGTGTGTGTGTGTGTGTGTGTGTGTGTGTGTGTGTGTGTGTGTGTGTGTGTGTGTGTGTGTGTGTGTGTGTGTGTGTGTGTGTGTGTGTGTGTGGTGTGTGTGTGTGTGTGTGTGTGTGTGTGTGTGTGTGTGTGTGTGTGTGTGTGTGTGTGTGTGTGTGTGTGTGTGTGTGTGTGTGTGTGTGTGTGTTCATGAGTTCATGCACCAACACTTAGAAGAGCCGACCGGCAAACAGCAGCTCGCGGATGTCAGCACTGCACCCTTATCAGTCTGTGATGAATAGAATGGAAAACGTGTCTTATCTTGTTCTTCCTACTTGTGCCAGCTCTGATCGATCTGCCACGGCACTGAAATCAATACGGGATTGCACTTTTCCACTCTATCGGATCCCGACACACATTCTGTTTTGACAAGGAAAGCACTCCACAGTACCACACCATAGATGGCGTGTCATTTTCAAATGTTCTCAGTTTCAAGGGTTGTTCGACGTGTATGTAATATTTGTACCCTGTATGCTGGCATGTGAGAATGACATGTCTGGATTTCTGAGACCGTGTGCCCGTCTGTGTGTGTAGGACTTCAGATTGTGAGACGGCAGGTGTGATATTCAGGCTTTTGAAATGTAGTCAGCTATATTATCATAGAATTTGCCCATCTTTCCGGGAGAGGTGTAAAATCTCCCCAACTGACCTCTCGTCACCTCGTCTCATCCCCACCACTCGATCACTCTAAAGGGAAGGACTGAGGGAAAATATAATTGAGATTCAGAGGAATATAGAGGCAGGGAGCGCAAGTGAGTGAGAGGAAGAAGATCTAGCTGACCATGAGTTCCTTTGTGTCTGGACAGAGACAAGTTAGTGAGGTTTGCCAGGCTTTGGAATAAACGTTCACAGCCTGGGACAGAGCTGCTGTGGCTAATGTGAGAGGCCAGGACATAATGAAGTCCGTAAGGCTGACGTGTCACCCTCGCTGCTGCGGAAACTCGTTCTGAACGGCCATTTGTATTTCTCCGGAATCAACGTGTGTAAATAGATTACGAGATTAATGTCAGGGTGTGTGTTTGTGTCCTATCATATTGTATCCAGGACTTACTTCAGACGATATTGTAACACAGTCACTTTATTTTTAGGTGAACTATTTCAACCGTGGGTTCAGTGATTTCACAAATGATTCTGCTGCTAAAGTTTGATATTATATATTAGTTTTATTATTTATTTGTGGTGCAGCCAAGGAATTGTGATGTGTGACATTTGCCAATCAACTTTATTTATTTATTTTACTTATTGTTATTAAGTTTGCTTTACCATCTGTATTTAGATTAGTTAGATTATAAGCCTCGATTTAAATGATGTAGTCCTGTCTGCCTAGAGTCATGATCTCCCGATAATGAAGGCCACACTGCAAACAGACCAAACCTAATGCAGTGTGTCCTTGGCACTGTGCCATCTCTTTGCAATGAAAGTAGCTAGCAGTAGTTCCTAAAGTCATCTTTTGATGTCAAACACTCGTTTGCATATTGGCAACTTCGTTTCTTTGGGATACCCTGTGCTGTTGGCAGAAGAGCAGAGCCGGCCAGCAAACCAATCAGAGCAGACTGGGCTCTGGTTTCAGACAGAGGGTGAAAAGAGATGCTGCAACATTAAAGCATGGAGACATGTCCCAGTAGAGGCACAACATACAATAATGAACCTGAGAATGAGCAGAGTAGGGCCCCTTTAGGGTTACCAATGTTGAAAAAAAGAACAGTTTTAACAGGGTAATAATTGACGGTCCAGTAGTTGCTGAATTGACTCTAGCAGTTTCTTCCAGCCACCACAGCTGTGTGTTTTCATGTATTCTTATGTATTTATAAACTGAAAGCTGGTCTGTAGCTTTTCAAAACCATAGGCATGATGTATTTAATGCTTTAGGCCACATACATAATGCATCCAAGTATCCTTTATCGTTGTAATCGATCACCCTGAGACTCTGTGTCCCATCAAGCTTTGATGTAGCAGTGATGGCTGGCTGACGCTGCCCCTCATCCTCATTCTTCTTAAATGTGCTGCACTGCCGTCCTGTGTGTGTGTGTGTGTGTGTGTGTGTGTGTGTGTGTGTGTGTGTGTGGTGTGTGTGTGTGTGTGTGTGTGTGTGTGTGTGTGTGTGTGTGTGTGTGTGTGTGTGTGTGTGTGTGTGTGTGTGTGTGTGTGTGTGTGTGTGTGTGTGTGTGGTGTTGGTGTGTGTGTGTGTGTGTGTGTGTGTGTGTGTGTGTGTGTGTGTGTGTGTGTGGTGTGTGTGTGGTGTGTGTGTATCCATCTGTCTGTGAGTCCATCCTGCTCTTGCTCTCATTGCTGCCACTAACATGTCATCCATGCTCCATGACAGCGTGCAGGCGTTGGCCGGGGATGGTTTGGGACATGGAGTACCCCTGGGCCAAACTGGACTGTAAGACTCTGCCTGCTTCCTCCTCACTAGGCATGACGCCCAGCCATAGCCCCCCAACATCCATCCATTAATTCATTAAAATGATTGTGAACCCCGCCATCATCAAATAACTATGTGGGCTGCGCTTGATTGAGCCAATTTTTGAAAGAAAAAATGGCCCAAGTTCAGATTCTGCATGCTAATGGTTAAAAGTAGCTGCATTTTAACCATTTTAACCATTTTAACCTCCACCCTCTACTCCTCTCGTAACATATTTGGCTTGTCAGTTAACTCCATGACCCTGAATGCAACCTCACTCTTACCATGCAACTTCAGACCAGCATCATGGCGTCCTGCATGAGCTAGTCCATCTGCCATACTAACTGTATCCACAGTGCTCTGCCCTTGTTGTGTTTCATCTGCACTGCTCTGCTCCATTTTGTATTGTGTTGTGATGTTGTCTGTGTTTTAACCTTGAAACTTTTTTTTTCTTAATGACTAACTGCACATAAGAAACATTTATTTTTAGTGGATAAAACCTCTTTAAACCCCTAACATCTTTTACACTCCCACACTAACCCTCTTTAATGGTAACAGTGGTGCAAATTGTTTCTGTTGTTGCCATGTGAACTGGTTTGGATTTCAAAATCTTCTTGATTTTGAAATATGTGAATTGGACAGATGTAACAGGCACTGGCATAAAATATCCTTGAAGGTATCTTCAGAATAAAAAATGGCACTTGTTGATTAACTCATCGGCGTAAAAACATTTAACCTTGTGTGACTTTTGAAACCTTCCAGTGATGACTAACCTCGACGCCACACAAGCTGTCTGAGTCTCCCTCAGATCACTGACCTTTCAGCAGCGTTGTGTTGTGTTCTGCTGCACTGTGGTATGGTGTCTCACATGATGCTCTACTCTGTTTTCCCCCTTTTAGATTAAAAATATAAAGGTCCAAAAACTGTTTATGGCGCAGGTAAGCCCCGAGTCAGACCTGAAGCTCGCTTCCGTCCAGCGGCCTACCTACCCCTTCGCTCGATCACTCATCCTGGCTGTTCCCCCTCCCACTCTTCTTTTTCTCCATCCAGCACTAACCAAGCTTTATTTACGGAGTGCTCTGACAAAGGGGTAAAGGGACAGAGAAACCAGGCTGTTTATTTGGGGGGTGTCCTACTGTTTAGGCCAGGCTGGTAATTGAAAGTGATGCACGGTGGGGACAATTAGCACCTGACTAAGTAGCAGCATGAACAATAAGGCTACACTTCTGGCCCTCGCTTCTGCATGTAGCGCGCCTTTATCTCTTGCCCCAGCAAACACTTTTCTCTTTCCTTTCTTTCCCCCAATCCGTCCACCCCCCTTATTTCCTCCTGTTGGAGTGTGCCTGTTTGCCTGGGGCAGACTGAGACTAACACCTGCCGCACTGGAAGATGTCTTTGTCATCTAAAGCCTTGTTTGAATTGCTGCAGAGGGGACCAATGGGATAGCAGGGCCATTTAAAGACCCTCTTTGTTTTCTTTCTCTCTCCCTTATTCCTCCCATGTGAAATAAACCTCACTGTAAGGCAGATTGGGCTGAGCAAGGAGCGGAAATGCGGAGTTAAAATTACCATAATGATACATTAGCCTCTTCTTGATCTGGGTTATTTTTTTTTCAAGCGGTATCTTACTATGAAAATGAATTCTTACATGAGGCCATACAGTGAAGAACATCAATTAACCGATGCAGCCGCAGTCATTAAGTGCCACAGTGGGAGTGATGACTGTTTAGTGCAGCATGTTTTAATGGCCGCTAAACGAAAAGGGAAGTCTGTTGAGTGGGTGGTGAACTGTACCGCACTATTGTCAGTGTGTATTGGCTGTAATAGGTGGTTGCCTTCCTCCTGTCTATCATATGTTTTCACAGTACATGCAGATGGAGTTAAGCCCACAAAAAGTGTTTACTGTAGGAATGAGTAGAAGAATACGGGAATGCAGGAATTATTCCGTCCATCAGACCAGCCTATTTTCTTCTTTTTTTTTGCCAAGCCAGTCCCTTTTTTTATATTCATATGCAGATTTGAGAATCCATGTTCGGACCCCCCTCGCCTCCCCTCTAGCCGTTCACAATACACACACCCTATGTTTCATCCATAGCCCAGCCCTCCTCTCCCAGTGAGCGCGGCCCTGGATGCTGCCGGTGGCCACTGTGCTGCTGAGTGTCTGTTACTCCAGCCATCTGCCGTTCCTTTTAGCCGCTGCAACTTGAGATGCCTCGGAAAAATGGCAGGAAATAAAAGGATAGGAAAGAAAATAGGCAACCAGATGCCACCTCCACAAAGCAGAAAAGTTGTTTAAACTCGAGGCATGGGGGCCAAGGGGGGGGGGGGGGGGGAGGTAGGCAGGCAGCAGGTCTGGGTTTGGTCAGGGGCACACTGAGAAAGTCCGGGCGACGTTCACAATACTTGATTGCCCCCCCCATGCCCACTTCCCGGCCCATTACTTCTTGCTGTCCCCTTATCTGTGAAAAACATTTTTTTATAAAAAGAACGGTACTTAACAATGGGAAGGCTCCACATGTTCACAACAAGAGCATAATGTGCAATTTTATTTCCATTCAAAGCATTTTGCTGTCACACTGTGAACTGAATACTTTTTTTTTACCCTTAGCTACAAAGGTTGCCTCATTTTTGTATGTCATTTAAGCATCTGGAAGCTCTGTATTCGGAAGAAAGGCGGCTTCTCTTTTAACAAGCTTTGCTTTCCCACAGCATGTGAAAGAAGCACGTTATCTCTGAAATATTTGAAATCACTTTCTCATATCTTAATTGTAATGACTTAATGGGTGAAACAAACTCAAATCTCAGCACTTTGACAGTTTGAATTGTACGTTTTTGTGAATGTCGGTGAAAAAACCAGGTGATCTTGTTTGTGGTAGCAGCCAAATGCATGACAAAGCATGCTGGGATAAAACGGCAATCACACAACCTGATGAACCCCACTGCCATGTCTAACTCTGTCTCATCTATTGTTGTCCTTTTCTTCCTGTCCACAATCTCTCCCTCCATCTCTCTCCCAGGCTCCTTCACCGGCAGCGTGAGCACAGAATCCGGAAGCAACGCAGGACCAACGGACCCCGTGGACCAGGTTTCTCCCACAATGCCCCGTGCCACGAAGAACAGAGTGTCCGGAAAGCTCCGCCGGTCAGCCAGCGCTATAAGCAAATCCTCCAACTGAGCTCTTCATCCCGTCCCCTTTTCCCCACCCGAGTGCAGCCTTTAATCTTTCTCTCAAAGAGCCTCACACACCCAGCCGTGACTGCAAGTGTTTCTTGGCGTGTACTGTTTTTCTTTGTTTTATTTCGTGTCATATAAACATGTAACTGGAGCATAATGCAATTTTTTAATTTAAGTGGCAATCATTGATTTTCGTTGATACATTTCTATTTGTTGTGGTGTTTAACTGCTTAATCGAGATGGACATGTGACTACGCTATTTATGTTCACCCTGGTGGTTTCAGCATAAGGACCAGCAGCATAGGAAGACTTGAATGAGAAGTCGTGAAAGGAACCTGTGATAAAAAGAAATGTCATTTTTATTTTCATGTTTCTAGTGTTGTCTCTATGCACTGGAGAGTAAGGCGTTCTTACTATGTTAAGGGAAAGGGAGACTGCTTCACCCTGTTTCTGTATCTCATCTGTCTCAACACTTAATGTGACAAAGCACTGAAGGACACCGCTGTAAACGGCATCATGCTAGAACTGCACAAATGTTGGGATCCATTTATAAATATGTTTGCCTTTTTTTACCTCCTACCTTTCTGCTGTGTCAAAGATAGCCACTGGGGACAGGAAGTTGCTCTTAAGCACCAGTGTGGACCATGTTCATGGACTTCCATACACTGAGGAAGGAAGAAAGAAACACTGATGCATGGGGATAGCCTCCCCAGAACTGTCCGTGCTCCCTGCACTACCACACATACTTTCTGAGTCCCTGCAGGACGTGCAGTCAGGAGGATTTTTAATTGTCTTCAACCCAGAGTGGACAATCAATGACGTCTTTTCTAACTGGAGCTTAATAGAAAATCTGTTTGGGGTTGTGTTGTTTTTTTTACCCCTCTAATTTTCATTTTTAAATGAATTCCGATGGATTGTGTCATGATTTGATTTATGCAACTCTGCTGAAACGAGAAAAGACTGCGTTTGTAATTGTTTTCTGATGTCGTTAACTTGGGCTCATGTCCGGTAATTGAATAAGTTCCTCCTGTCTCTTTCCTCCGCTATCAGTTTCCCCTGTCCTGTGAAACGAAGGCATCGACATTCCAATGTTTATTTTTTGCACTGTCATTGATTTACCTAGCATTTGAATGTTTCTCTTCGTTCTTGGATGTAAATTGCTTTACATTTTATTTGCTAGATTTATATTAGAAAGGACTATTTGATGTTGTATTGTATTATCTATTCATGTGCTGTTTTAGAGGAAATATGCCGCCAGAGCCTCAGGTGAATCTTAAGTCCATGCACTGGTGTGTTTGAGTGTGTGTGTATGAGTGTGTGAGTTTCAGAGGGAGCTTCTCACAGTGCCTGTGTTATGTCTGTCCTCTAACATGCTGTCCAACACCACCTCTCCTCCCCGTAATCACATTGTAGTTTCTCTTCTTTTGTGACTCCCTGCATCACATCTCCATCATTAGTTAGTAGTCTAAAACAAAGCCCCCCACCCCCCCTCTCCCTCTCTGTGTCTCTAAAGGTCAGCGTCTTGTGCTTCCCACAACAAAAACAGCAGCAGATGGCTTTGTGGGGTTCTCTCTTTTAGTCTTTATTACAGGTGGTGCGCTGCTCCGTCCCTGAATAGGAGTCAAGGAGGCACCTCCACTTTCCCATAATCCTCCGCCCTCGCCCACATCGCCTCCCAAGAGAGGGGTGGGTGTTCTGCGTTTAGGTGGCATGCCTGAGCTGAACTCTAGCAGCCCTCCTAGCAACAGCCTTGCCGACGCTCACTTCTCCAACCTGCCCGCTCGGGGTAGTCATGGCAGCCAGGTGTTCCACACACACCCTCAGAGGGCTCCACCCAAGCTGCAACTCTATCCCCATCTGTTGCACTACTATGCCTTACTTTCCCCCCATCGCTCTCCTGTCTGTTGTCTTTACTAACCTGCACACGTCGCCTCCTTTTGTTTGGGTTGATTCATTTTTTTTGAAGAATGTATAAATATAGGCCTGGATCACATCTATGTTTTTGTTATTTCCCCCCCGCCCAGGATGCTGATCTTAAAGATTGTAGTTTATTAGCAGATGTCTTTAGAAAGGGGTCTGTGCTCCCCCTTTGGTGGTTTAGTTGGCTGGAGATGTTAGTTTTGGACCAAGATAAGGATTGTGTGTCTTATAAATGTGAGGAAACTGAACTAGTGTTAGCCCTAGTATGTTTTTTTCTCTCTTTCTTCTCGTTTTAGAAAAATCCTTGTACATTGTGTCAAATTTGAAGGCTCGAGCTCCTTCCGAATATAAATATATGAATGCCTGTAATATAATCTTTGTATAAGAGAAAGAGGAACAAAAGCTTGAAGATTTCATCATTACTTGTCAACATATCAAACTGTTTTTAACGACCGAGTTCCTGCTATCTTTATTAGAAATGTGAAAATTGAAACATTTCATTAAATCAATTTGAAATTCTACGTTTCTTTGTGCCTTTTTCACCCCTCCTAATAACACATCAAATAATTGTGTAACCTCGGATTTAGCAGAGTGGGCCAGAGTGTGTGTGCTGACATGATGGTGCTGTTACCATGGGCTCTCTGACCCTGGCCCAGGCGTGCTAGCAGCAGCAGCAGGGTAACCTGACCCCCCTCCCATCTGTCTCCCCTGCTGCTCAGCAGGCTGGCATAATGGAGGCTCACCAGGAGGTACAGGTGCATCGGCTGCAGCACCTAGACTGCAGCCATGCCTCGCCTGGGTCACATGAAGACTCAGGAACAGCACTTGACCGTAATTGGAGCCCTGAAACTGTGAGAGAAAGGGTGAGAAAGAAGCTGATAATGTTAGCTCATTTTCACCATGCTCAGCGCTGTTTGCCTGAGTCATTGACCCCGAGAGAGTTTATGAAGCAGGGTCTGGGTGTCCCAGGCTGATTGTTACCAGATTGTCTTTTTTCATGTGTTACACTGCTGACTGTAGTCTATTTTCACACGTATCTCATATCTCTGTCTGGATGTACTGTCACTGATGCCCTAAGGGGGAGTGGTTTTATTCTTTTTTAGTCTGAGAAGGCTGTAGAGTTTTAATAAGCAGGAAAGTCTTTATCAGAAAAAGGAGATTTTTGTAATCTTTTCAACAAATAAGGCAAGTTATACCATGAGTAATAATGCTCTGAGGTGAACCCAGTGCTGACAGTATGTCTCTGTAAGTCTGAAGAGGAGGCTGTGTGCTAAATTACAACTGAATGAATGCCTTACAGGTTCTGGAGGTTAGATATGAAGCCCACTGAGCTCGGATGTGCCCTAAATCAGCACACATCGAACTGCATATGAGTCTTCCAGAGAAGACCGATGTTTTACTGCTCCAGAGGTGAGTTTGATCCACCACCTCTTTGTCCTCCTGTCATGTCCTGACATGGTATTAAGGAGGGGATTTATGATTAGGCCCTAAGTGCTTCTCTGTGGCAGCGAAACGGCCTCTATTGAGCCACTATATGATTCACTGCGAATCAGCCTGGAGAACGGGGAATCGAAGGCAACGGAGTGGCCGGGGGGATCCTGAGGTTTCTTTCCCTGTTGGGGACGAGTAAAAAGAGTTGCACCGTTTTGGAGTGGGACCCGATGTGAGAGGGATGGTGCAGAGGATACATTAAAAGTTAAACAGTGACATTGTTAAAAGTGTTATGGTGTTAAATTGTATTCTTATTCATCTTGCTTGGTAGCCTGATTTGGAAGTCCACTTTAAACCACATGATCGGCCATAAAAGCAGAATAATAACTGCATTTTACTCACTTTTTAAAGATTATATTGACAGATGTTGTATCTAAGCATAAGTCAGTGTAGTGTAAATACGCATTTAAGGTTATTTTTGAAAGCTTATACGCAACGTTTTACGCACATGGTTTCATTGTGGGTTCTAAAATTATAACCACAAAGTCAGAGGGCTTTTCCAACATCTCATACTTTAATCTCATATGATAAATTAATAGTTTCTACCTGTATTAATTTAGATAATAATTTTAGGATTATTAGCCTATATGAAGCTTTTTGGAAATAATTTTCCAGACTTCCCTCAAGAGAAAACCCATCACGGATATTCTATAAAAGATCATCAAACTCATCATGTCAGCATAACCAAATTCCCACCAGTAATATGAAGTATTCGTTAATAGCACCATACTTATTTCCACTCTGTCTGAGAAACTTCAACCACCTTGAGACACGTGTCCTTTTGAAAATATTTTATTTCGATAGACAACAACGATGTACACATACAATCAAAGCGCTATAAAAGCCAACATTTAAGAAAAATAACTTGTCCTTAAAAAAGATTGCATCTAAGGTAAGAGCTTTACGTTTGTTTTTTTTACAAGAGCTGTGGGGATTGAGGATTAAAACCCGACCCACGAGAATTAGCACAACTCGTGAATTTGAAGCCAAAAAAACAAAACAAAAAAATCAAAAAACATTTTGGCTATATGACATGTAAACTGCCAGAACGATTCACAGAAGAGATCACAACAAACACAACAATAAGTTACATAACATAATTTGAATAAATAAATAAATAAACATATGATGAAAAATATTGCAACAATCTTCCATAATAATAATAATAATAATAATAAAATATGTGCCAGCATTCAAAATTAATACAGTCTATGTTGACTTTTTTTAAGGCAGTTATACAGCGGGATTTGGATGTGTATGTCGGACTAGGTTTATACTAAAGGCATTTGTGGTTCTACTAAACAGGGAATGTCTCAGTCACTCTCTTTTTCCCACCAATACGAAGTCATTCCCAAACTAGCCTAAAGCTACAGTGATAGTGAATTCAAAAGGCTTTGATGGGGAAAAGGATTTCTGAGAATTTTAAGACATTTCTTAGGTCTAGAAGCTATCATTGAACACATGTGCTGTCCTAGAAAAATACCCTTTAACAGTCAAACTAACGCTTTGTATTCTTTTTTTTCTTCTTGATAAACTAAGTTGAGAAAGAAAATCTCAAAATAGGCCTATAAGTAGTTCAAATATAGAGAGAAGCACTCAACAATCACTGATTGGCATGGAAAAGACACCTCATTAAACACCACTTAAACATCAAACCGGCTGCCTTTCATTGGCCTAAAGTTATGGCAGTGAGCATCTCAAACTCTTATTTTTTAACCCCAAAGCCACTTTTTTTGTTTCTCCTTTTTTTTTAAGTTATCCCCCCTTCAAAGGCACAAGTTTAGTGTTGTCTCTAACAGGCGGGGCGCACCGGCATTTGGAGTAGGATCACCTGCCTGTTCTCCGAGGGGTGGCACTTGTTTATGTGCCTGGTGAGCCCCGGCGAGCTGTAGAGAGTGGCGGGGCAGTATTTGCACGGGTAAATCTGGGAGGAGTGCATGAGGCGCAGGTGTCTCTCCTGGCCAGCCCTGCTGTTGAAACTCTCCCCGCACACCGGGCACAGCAGGCAGTCCGCCGGGCTCAGGTTGAGGGGGCTTTGGTTTGTGGCTTCCTCTGAGGATGATAATGATGATGATGATGATGAAGATGATGCTGAAGAGGAGGGTAAGACCGGAGCCTGCTCTGCCGGGCGGTCGCCGGTTTTAAACCCGTGCTCCTCCAGCACTTTCTTTTGCAAGGCCTGGTGTGCCAAGATGTGTTTTCTTAGGTATGCCTGTCGCTTAAACCTCTTCCCGCAGTACTGGCAGTCATAGGTGCCATCTTCAGAGCCCGATTCGGACAGACCTGGACTCGGGGTGTCTCTGTCACTCATGTCTTTGGCTTCGTCGGTGACTGACTTGACACCCATGGGTGGCATTTTGGCCGTTTCATGTTTGATGGCCTGTGCCTGTGCCATGGCAGGTGCTCCGGTGGTCCGGGGTTTGTGCCAGCGGCGGTGAGAGGCGAGGTTAGCCGGGCAGCTGAACATCTTATCGCACTCGGGACACCGGTACTCGACCCTGACGATGCGCGAGCACTTGTGCTGAGCCAGAGAGAATGGATCTTCGTACGCCTCCTTGCACAGCTGACACACAAACTCCCCCAGAGGCTTGTTCCCCATGGAAGACGACCTCGGCTTCACCTCCAGCGGCCCCTCTTTGATTTTGAGACCAAGCACGGGAGAAGTCGTCATCTCGTCTTCGAAGTTGAGTTTTCTGATGGCTTTGGGTTTCTTGGAGGTGGGCTTAGATTTACGTTCTGTACCGTCAGCTGCGGGTCTTTTGGTGGCGACCCGGTTGCTCGGTACCGGGAGGCTGCTGGTGGTGCCGCTGCGGCTGCTGTTGCTGGTTCCGATCTTCAGGTCGACCGGAGCGAACATGAGCTGGTCCAGGCCGGAGAGGGAGGCAGGTGTGGGGAATGACTCGGCAGAAATAGGCGAGCCCAGATTGAAACTTCGCTCGAAATATCCCCTGTCGTGCTCCTTGCTGATGGGCCGGGTGGGGCTGTAGATCGCTTGGCACACCGACTCCGGGTTTCCGAACAGCACCGGCTTCTCCAGTCTTGGCACTGGCGCGTAAGCTGTTGTGAAATCTGGAGAGGCTGCGGCGCGCTCCGGACTGGATGCCACGGACATCGGCGGGGAGGGGTCCACATAACTCGGCAAGGCAGCTGGGGTGGGATGCTCCTGGTAGTCATCTTCGTCCGACCGAGTCCTGTAGGAAACATGTGTAGATTTCCTGTTTCTTTTTACCAGGAATCCTTTGGGCATCTTGGCGAGTATGAGAGGAAAGGCACTTCGGGGAGGTGGGTGAAGTCTCGAGTATCCAGGTTTGTTAAAAATATGGCAACACTAGAAGCTTCTGGGACTTTATCTCCCCAGTATATCGATTCTTCTGTTGCTGAAATGTTTTCGTCTCCAAGGCATAGCTCCACTCTTTTTATGCCGGAATGATGCTATTGTTCTCGCCCCCCCTGTTGCAGCATCCCCGACCAATCGGATGAAAACCAACATCCCAGTGGATTTGATTGTGGGAGGGCTTACAGCCTGGGTTTGGTGGATTTCGTTGGAGGATGTGCAGATAGCTTAGCAGATGTACTGGCGGTTTATTACATTAATGTGTGCGCTCAGCCCCTCCCCGACAGAGGCACACGCCGGGACCCTCCTCCTTTTACGGTCTGATGGGCCCCTATACAAATGCACACGTGCCACGGCTTTGTGGCTCTCCTCTGGGGGCCCCGGAGCTGCGAAAGGAAATGTCCGTCACTGCCACGATCATCACAATTTAGAATTAAGACGGGGATAAGACAAGCTTGGTTAAATACAAACCAAAAGCTGTGTTTCTTTCAAGTTCTGCTGTGATGAGGTTCAGAGAAGCAACTCACCTAATGGACACAACTGCAACACCAGATTCTCCGAATTCCAGTTTGTTTCAACCTCCACTCGGTTCACAGTTGTTTATTTTGTATACCCATGCTCCTCTTCTACGCACGACCTTTGCACACATTGCAGGCCTCCCAACAAACCAGATAAGCCAGATTTTATAGACCTTTA